ATCTTTGCCCACTGACTTTGATTGGGGTTATGATGGGGTATGTTGCTTGGAAATAAAATCCAGTAATTCTGACCTTTCGGGATGAACTTGGAGTATATTTGTATCACTGAGTTAATTCCTGCCACTTCTGGACAGTTGTTTGATCTTTCTGTAAAGATCTTTGCCTGTCAAATAACAGTCCTCTAGTCTTACTGTCTGCAAATCTCCCCCCTTGAAGGGAGGACTGCATTTATTAAAAGAAGACTGCCTGAAAAGAAAAAAACATACTGCTCTTACCTAGTTACTGTGCATATGAAAGTAATCGAGGTTGCAGCTTCTAATCCTTTGACCTAAGCTCCATAGTTCTCTGAGATGATAGGTAAATAGTGGTATACCCATTTTCTAGGTAGGAAAGAGAGGGAGAGAGAGGTCGTGTTATTTGACCCATGTAACACAATAGGTTCTTGATAGGGATGAGATTGTAAATAAGTCTGTAGACTTCGCTGCCTTCCTCAAGGATGTGTCCTGTGAATGTGCCCTATAATACTGGACATTAAATGGTTGCAAAATTCATCTGAACCCGGTCTGATCTTGGCATCCCCCAGAAAGAGAGCAGCCAAGTACTTTTCAATTCAGTGAGAGGTACAGTAGTAGATTTCCAAAACTGTCGGAGTAATAGGAAAAATAAAGAAGTCCATACATCATGGCTGACGGGGTAAAACAAAACAAAACACAAACCAACCATTAAAAAGGGGGCAGGAAATGGTTGCATGAATTCAGGTGTAACAGAATTTCAAGATAAAAGTGTTTTGCCTAGGGGATACAGTCATTTTCATATTACAGGGATTTTGAGTAAAATACCTCTGGATAAATACAGCTCAATTGTATACAGAGAATGGTGAATGGCGTGGTTTGTTTTCAGCTCGATATCTGGAGGTGGGAATTGACCGCATAAGAGCGAGAGCAACAGATTCAACATGTTAAGCAAACACATTCTCTAGGTACGTTTCTTCTTCAAGTGTCATGACAACTAAGCAGAACAACTAAACCACGAGTATTTATTCACTGCTGTTGCCACTCAGAAGGCTGGCTATGCATGGCCTGTATTCTGCAGTACTGCTTGCTTTATGGTAAACCGATTGCCTTTCCTCATCCTCTGTAACTGCATTTGGGAACGTAAATGAGTATGAATGTGTAACGTTGCCAGAAAGTAAAGCTTTTAGATTTCATGTATTTCCTTCTCTAAGCCATTGTAAGGGTACAGTTTAATATAAATCTTGAACACTGCTCTGAAGCAAGTTATTGCAAAAGTGCACTTCATTCAATGTTGGTTGAAACCCTGTCACTGCATGGTAATGCAGTATGCCCAGAAAGCTCCCTATATATGTCAACAATAGAATTAACAAGCTGTGCTTGAGTATTGAATAATGTCATAGTTGTAACAGCTTGGAGGGGGGAGAATTCTACTTACCTTTGGGGTTCTTTCGTTCTCAAGATTAGCTTCTGAGGGGCGGCTGAGTGCTATTCTGGTGTCTTACCCATGACTGGTGTCTGACTGAACTACTCATCTTGCAGAATTAAACCAGCCAAAACTTCAACGACCTTACCTCAGAATACTTTTTGTTCATCTCAAAATGTAACTAGAAATATCCAGAAGAAAGAAAGAGAAGTAAACCAAATGACAACGTCCTTGCTTTACCTAGTATTTGCTGCTAGTATATCATAATTAACAATTACTAGGAGGAAAAAGAAAGCTAATCTATTAATTGGAAGCACAGTTAAAACAAACTTTCTGAGTAACCTCAGCTGCCCGTGTGCATTCAAGGGAAGACAAGCTGTTTCAGAGATAGCAAGATATCAGGTTATACTAGAGCAATGTGCTACAAGATCTGCACTTTGAACTGCATCCAGAGGTGAACAGGTCATCAAGGCCTGCTCAGCAGCCGGTGAAAATGTTCCTACTAGCTAAACTAGTCTAGTTGAGGGGTGGCCAGGTTCAGCTCAAGTTGCAGTTATCTAAAATACATAGGGATTTTGGCACTCATAGCTAAATTTCTACAATTTTCACCAAATGAAGAGTTGGAAAGATAAGTTATTGGTTGATTCATCTTGAAGATGAAAAATGCTTCATATATTACAGTGAGAATTATATGATTAGTGACTAAATTAAGTGTAAGATTTTATTTGAGCTCCTGAACAATGTTTTCAGAGAGCAGAGATAATTCCACTTGTAGTTCTTCTCCAGTTCTTACAGTGTTCCACACATACCCTTGTCTCACAGCTGTACAGAAAATACAGCTCAGCACACCAAAATTTTTATGAGGATACTGTAAGAATCTTCATGCCAGTTTCTGTTATTACTAATCCCACTGTGAAACAGTAAACTGTTGAGCTTCTTTTCAGCTAAACCAAAGTAACTGACAGTAGAATTTGGTCCCTATCATGTTGTTTCTTGATTGATGCCCAAGCACTTGTGATGTCTAGTTTGCAATGCCAGGTGAAACCTATATCTTCTGTTTCAACATCTTTGCTGTTCTAGAATACGGCTTGAATATTTCTCTTCATATGTGCGTGAAATGAAATCCAAAAGACAATTTTTTACTCTGGTTTATTCTAAATTTCATTCCAGTATTGACCTCCTTATTTTACTCTTGCAGTGATTTGGCACAAAGTATCTGTCAGTCTACACCTCTTGAATTCTGTTTGATCCTGGTAGGTCTCTCCGTGCATCCAGGGGCAATGTGCAAACTCCAGGCTGTTGCTTCCTCTGCTGTTTCTGTATTCATGGAGATGAAATGCACTGTTAGGATCAGGAGTAGTGTTGTGCCTGGTTAAACTGATACAGGCAAAAAGTGTATTCACTTTGACAATGATCACTCTGTACAGAGGTGAATACCACCAACGGCTTCCTTCACAGCAAGCCCATTCTTCACATCTGAACCTCAGCATTGTGCTCAGAGTAGTAGGCACCTGTGGTGTCTGCTGTGACAAAGGCTGTGAGTCAATCTACAACAAAGGAGACTGAGCTTCACCCATTTAAGAACATGGGAAGGAGGAAAAGAAAGGCAGGGGTGGGGGAGAAGTTGTTACGGTTCAGAAAGGTCTTGGGTTGATTGTTTAAAGGAATTTTCTTTGGTTCAGACCACAGGAGCACACTGAAGCAGGAGAGTACACATGGTTATTTATCACTTTGCTTTACATAGGAAAATACATTAGCAGATCTAGCAAAGTGATTCTGTACTGGAAATAATACTAAACCCATTCAGCATGTGTTCCTGGAATGATGAGCTTGGGGAAAATGTGTGTTGAAGCTGCTTAGGTGTGGAGTGGACATTGATGCTGGTCTGGTCTGGTGTGCCCTGGGTGAAGGGATCTGGGAAAATCCAGGTCTTCTGAGGTTTACTGGTCCCACAGCCCGTGCCACAGAAGCTTCCCAGAGACAGCAAGGATACATAGCTGTAATCTTTTTAGACTGAGGAAAGCTTGAAGCTCTTGGGTCACAGTAAAGCTGCCAAATGAGTCAGGCAGTGAGGGTGAGTGAATTTTAACATGGAGATGGAGTAATCTACTACTATTTGATATAAAATTAATAAGTGAAGAGGAACGTTTTTCAGAACAGATAATTGACATGTTCTGTTACCATCTATATATTTGGGTCTTGAAAATGGTTGTCTTATTTTTCTTCTTTAAAAAATTTTACTTTAGTTTTAAATTGCACACAGACATTTAAGGAAATTAACATCTCCAGAAACATGGTGTTCCATGGCATACATTTAGTCATGTCTAATAAATATTGTTTCAAGGCTGGTGAGTGCATTTAAATGAGGAATCTTTTCATTTTCTCCTACCATACCTGAATTTCTGCTCAAGCTGAAATTATATTTTTAACATTTCTTTGTTTATGTGGTGCACAGAACACAGCCCAATCTAATGTAAAATGATTAACTCATACTAAAAAATAAGGAACAGAGACACTGGTAAACATCACACAGCTCCTGGGAAAATGCATTTCTGAAGTGAGAGCAATTCTAGCGGAGCCCACATGCAGTGATTGTGAACCTGGCTCTCGGAAACCTTTTCTTGGTTTCTTCATATGTACTCTGTAAATTTTATTTATTTAAAACATTTTAAAAGTATGGATTTGCCATTTTTTTAATTTCAGTCATCTCCTGTGTTTTAAATCTCTGTCTTCATCCTGCATTTAAAAGCTTATGTTCTAATAACCTAGACATAAATTTGAGGGTGCTTCAAGGTTTTGAGTTTAGGAGGAAATCTGTACTGTGAGATGTGGTTTTCAACCTAGCCCTTTGATAGTCTGGTGTGCCATAAATCCTATAGCATCTTAGCTATAAATTTAACATGCAGTTTGACAGCTATGTTTGATTTTGATTCTCTAAATGATTCTGAAGGAATAGCAAGAATCCATCTATACAGGAACAAGAGACTCCAGTCTTTGATTTACCACACTTTTGGCAAAGTAAATTGTGTTTGCTAATGAATAACTTCAGGAAAATTAGCAGAACACAGGAACCTTTTAATTCCCTGACAGAATTTTAGATGTCGTTAGCAAAACCCTTTCCCACTCTTATAGTCACAGGCAAAACCCCAGGCTAAAGAGCTTGAGGCTCTCCTCGTTCCCTGATTTAAAAGGTAGCTCCTTTCTGGCTGCTTTATATTCTGCTCAGTTTTAGCTTTTCTCAGCAACACTGACAAGGTCAGTGATGTGCATTAACTGGGTACAGCTCAGTTGTGCTGTTGTGTGTATACTCCACCAAGGCAGCTCCTGAACTGCATGCAAAACTTGTTCCCTTAAAACACTTCCAAGGCAGTTGGCCCAAGTGGTGGAGCAATCTCTCAGGTCACTTAAAATACAATGACTCCATTACATGAAATAAAAGGCAAGCATCAGCAGTCTTGCCATCTGTAAGAACAGATACCTGACGTTCAGAAGCATGCTGTGTAACAACCAACATCAATGTTCAGCCTTAGTCTGGCACCAGCTGAATTAAAAGCAAATTGAATGGAAGCAAGATCAGCTAGGGAGTTTATTTTATGTAAAATATAAACACGTTAACAGGAGAAAATACTGTTTTCTTATGTTACAACCTTAATAACCAACATGAGATTTATCTTACAGTTCTGCAGGTAGTGCAGCGTTTAATTACATGTACATGATTAAAAAGAGCAGATACTCAATTGTGCACATACACCATGTATTGTACTCTTTACAAGAAATTCAGTACTTTTATGTGTCCCCAATTGAGTGACAAATAATTTTACTACTTCTTACTCCATTTAAAAAACTAGCACAAAATATTTAAGTAGTTTTATTATGATTGCATCATTCTGACAAGGTAGAGAGGGACTCCGTATTTACAAACAGATATACATATTCAAAGCCTCCAAAATACCAGCCCTTTCCATATTTCTGCTGCTTCTCTTTGCTCTCCTCCCTGCCCCACACTTATATTCGTACAGCATATGGTGACTTTATTCCTAAAGAGTCATGGAAAAGTTATTGAGCTTGTGTTAGGTCTTCTTTAAGAAAAGCCACTGAAGCTTGAAAATTGTTTCCAGGAAAAGCACTCGAACCTGTGACATGGCCACCCTGATGTTGCTCTTGGTGTTAGAATGACAGTTGAGAGAGGACTAAGAAACAATTTAGTACGTGAACATAGTCCAATATGGGACATTTGCAAACACGAGCACGTTGCAAATACAAAGCTGACATTTAAACTCAGCATCTTTAAGGTATGTGTATTAATGAGGTTTTGGGGAGCAGGGAGAGACAGGTTGCAAATATTTATTATCTACTGTGGCAAGTAAGATGTTCTGGTAAATCACAAGGTGTCTTCACAAAGGGTTTGCTTCTGCCACTTTCAAACCCCTAAGAGAAGGATTAGGATTATCTAGAGGACAGAGCACCAACTTCAGATGTGTGCAAGCTGAGTGCTAGGAAGCTGTGTGACAGTCCTGCTTCTCCTGCAGATGTACTGTGCTATCACAGAAAAGCCACTTACTCTTTATTATTCTTGCATATAGCAACGTTGCCACCTGCAACAGCCTTCACCAGAAGCATTAGGCTGTTAAATTGATCACTGTGAATGGCACACAAAAGTTATTTATTTTAAATTGTGCAATAGTCCCAGTTGTGATAACCAAATGCAGCAAAATTACTAAAGTATTATAGCAACTGTGAAACTATGAATAAAGGGAGTTATGTGTGGTTTCATATTAAACCATTCAGACAAAGCCAGCAAGCAAACCTCCTAGGAGGTAAAGAATTATTAGTGTGTAAAAAGGTGTGGGCTTAGACCAGAAGGTCCCATCAGGTGGGCACGTACCGTTATTTGACCCTGTGTGCAAAAAGTCTGTGTTAATCTGAGTAAGCCTTGTGGACAGGTTCAAGCTATCTCTTTGAAGTAACGCATGCTAACTGGAAACAAATTAAAAGAGTGTCTATTGAGGTTTCCCAAGGGCCATTTAAATATGAAGTGCCATGTTAAATTGTGAAGAAATACCTCAGCAACAGAATTGATGCAACAGGAAAAAGACCTGGACTTTTAATTGATCAAAGAGAGTACAATGTCTAAACAACTAAGAATAACCCTTTCATTAACAACAAAAAAAGTCAGTGACTTTCTGATACGGGTGTCACAGATGCTGGACTCTAAAACATCCAATGTCTTTGCTAGATGGTGTGGCTTTTCTTAAACCAGCACTTTTCCTGCTTTATGTTCTCTTATATGAGCCCAAGTGGATAGAAGGAAGTTGCAAAAAGATTGCTCTCCTTGCTAGGACTTACACAAGAATAAATTCAGCAGTTAGGATTATTCATACTTGAGACTGTACAGAGCACAGCTAAAATGGTGAAGACAGCAATACCTGCATGATCAGCTGACTGCCAGCTAACTCTGTTTGGTAAAAGGAATTCTCTTGTGAGAAGAGGAGCTTTTCTAAATCCTAATAATTGATAACTGTGCCACAGATTGAAGTATTAAAGTAATTCTCAGGTTAGCAGGTAGAGTGCAAAAAAGGCTATGAAATGTGCACTGAGTGCAACTCATCAGGTACATACTGCTATGTGTAGCAGACACATAGTAAATACTGCATCCTTGTTATGTATGAATAAATTTGGGTTTCCCAAGTTTACAACCCAGCCGGGACCACAAGCCTAAAAACGGAAACTGGGTTGTAACTAGAGACGTTGGATCATAAGCAAACAGCTACAAAAGCAAAAAGACAAAGGCAAAATGTTAAACTGATTGGAATTTCACAAGATTGAAATTGTTTCTTAAAGTGCTAAGGTTGATTACATTGTAAAAAAATCAAAGTACATAAAAATTAGAACAGAAAACAAATAATATCAACTACATAAGTTATTCTACAAATACAGTAACAGACCAATGAAAAAGAAATAAATTAAAACAAACACTAACAAACATCAGGTACACAGCCAAAACTTCTTAAAATTTCTAGTACACATTCAGCTGTAAGATAGTGCTAACACTTGTCAGCCACCAACAGCAAAAAAGAGCTGAAACAAGAAGGGTCTGCTGCTGAGACCATCAAACCACTGGCAGCTGCAAGCTGTCAGCTCAGGTCCCAAGTACATGATGCTGTAACAGATGGGTGAACGGAATGTGATGTCTGAAGGTAAAAGACAGGTTGTGGGGGCACTTTGGGACCCAACAAGTAACATGAATTTCAGTTTCAGCTTAGTTAGGTCTTTGATATCTTTATTAAATCTAATACAAATGAAACACCTACTGATTTATTTTCTTTACTCCAGCTGCTAAAGGAACAATACTTTTAAGATGTAGTCTACTGCTCTGAGGTAACTGTAAATTATTAAAATAAGATTGACATGAATAATTTGGGGATTTAATTCCTCAGGAAGGTGTTCTGCTTCACTGATACGGTTTTCCATTACTCCCCTCTTCTGCCTCCCTCTGCTATGTCCCAGAAATAGAAATTACATAAAATCCTGACAGCCTGTTCTGTGAAATATAAAAGTTGAGGTCTGAGCTCATCCTCTAAGATAACTGATTCATCAGCACTGCGGCACTTCAGTTGGGTTTGGTGGAAAAACAGCACAGGACAGAAATGTTCTTTTTTCTAAGTAAGAACATAGTAATAAGATTTATAAATGGACAACACATCCCAGCAACAGCATGTGAAACAAGCAGAAAACTTCAGGTGTCATTAGTCCTAATGTGCTCAGAACCTGACACTATAAAAAAGTAATTTTAGGGAAGCACAGAATACTATTGGACACATCTGTGCTACCGGTTTGTTTTCTAGCTGTTGGCTGAAAACCTTCTATTGTCCTAGATGTTTTTCCATTCTTTCATAAGGGACTGGAAAGCTACACAGAAGAATAAGAGAAAAAGGATTACGTTTTATGTAATCAACTAAAATAATTTATATCGTATGATTGTTCCTGTGAGGATCCTGCAAAACCAATGCGGATGTTCTTAATTTGGCACAGCAGAGTTCTGCTGCCCAGACTGGCAGTATTACTACAACCGCGATGGACACCTTTTGATGGACTGAAGTCAAGACATTCAGCACACTGTAGACTGTATATAATTCAAAGAATTGTGACTGCATTTTTCATTTCTAATCAAAAGAAAATGTTCCTTACTTGAGCTGGTGTTGGCATGAAGTGAGTATTCCACAATATTTTAGAGTTACAATTGGACCACTGATGATGGACTGGTGTGATACCAGGGCTGTGCTCTTTCCATGGGTTAGCATGAATTTACAGTATACTCTATGAAAAGGCTTATTCTAGTAATTTTACTCTCAACAAAATACTGCAGTTACCTGCATATTTTGCAACCTAGAGCTGTCTTGCAGCTGGAGAAAACCAAAGATTATTATCCTGTACTTTAGCATTTAAATATTAATTCATATAATTAACCTTTTAAGAAATCAATTTTCCAGTAAATCAACTGAAATATGGAAAATATTTCTGAAAAATTGAACTGATTTAAAAATTACTTTAATGAAAAATTACTTTTCATATAAACGTGAGCCCATAACTTGCAAATAATACCTCAAGAATATCTTTTTTGTTACTTGTTTTAAACTTGAAGAATGCTCTAAGAATGTGTAGCAGTAAGCCATGAAGTACAGGCCCTTGAACCAGCACTGGCTAATGCCGATCAAGAAGGTGCCTTCATTCACAACAAGGAAACCTTACCCCTTTTAAAAAGGCAAGTGATTATTACATTTTTATATGGAATTTCTGAATGCTAATAAATAAATACATTAAAGAGGGGTTTGCAGGTTTAGCTTTTCAATGGAAAAACTCCTGGGCTTCAGTGAGAATTGAAGTCTGTAAAATGCCTGTCTCCTGTGTTCGAGACAGAACATTTCATTCTAACATCAATAATAGAACTAGAGCTGCATCTCAATTATGCTTGTCTTGAGCCTGCATATGAGCTTTCATTCATGTGAGTGATCTTTGTAGACCACTATTATTGTTCACCCAAGTAAGTAAGGTTACATTCTAAGTCTGTTTTCTTGTATTGGTATAACAACATGGTAAGTCACAAGTAAAGTTAGATGAAAAGTCCACTTAAGTTTCTCATTCAGTATAAAGTGCTACATCTCTTCAGTTTACAAAATGGCCATTGATAAAACCAACTGAACTTCAGTTGATGTTACAGTAGAAGCTAGTACTTCATTTTCACCATTATTTAGCAAACTATATTTTACATTCACAGTAGATTACAATGAAAAAAGTTATTCTCTTTCCTATAGAAGAATAAATTATAAGATTTAACTGCACTTCAAAAGCCTTTTCTTGAAATGGAGTGTTGGCCATAAAGTGGCAGTCAGGCTTCTTAAAGAAGGACCAAAAGCAGCATTGTCTATTAAATACTTAATGAGAGTGAATGAAATATAACAGGTAGAAATATACCTTGTGAGATGAGAATATTTCCTTGCAAATACCAGAATCAACTATCAGTGCCCCTAAAGACATGAAGAGTGTTTTTGTTGTTGACTTCATTGCAACAGGAATGTGGCTACTGAAATTCAAGAATTGTATCATGGAGTGAAACTGTCCAACTAAGCAAGGTGCTTACGCAGCGTTACCACCTGCCTTAACCTTATACTGATTCCTTCTCATTCCCTGTTGATACTTTCTTCTACATTCATTCTTTGCCAAATTCCAGTGAGTACAGCAATTTTATTAGCCAGTACTTGACTAATGCCAGCCAAATTCACCCAGTAAAATCACAAACTAAGCCTTTTGATGTTTTTAAAGTCAGACACTCCAGAAGCCTATCTGTTTCTGTGGTGACTCTAATGCTGTCATACAAGGCCAAAAAGTTAGAGATGGTATGTACCTGACAGTGAGTGTAAACTAGTGGTTGTTATGCATTACGTTATGTTGCTAAGAAATGGACTCTGTCTTGAGAAATGAAAATAGAACCTACAGAAAATTGTAGGATCAATTAATGTCTTATGTACTGTGTGAACACCACCGTTAAATGCACTGTCATTTCAGTCCTGAAGGATGTCATATGTGAGCACTGTTGCAACCTCTGCAAACTTAAGTAAACAACCCATGATATTTTTATGGAAAGATAAGTTCAACCTCCATACATGCAATTTATTTGTGTCATATGTGTCATCTCACTCCCTTTATTCCAGTGCTCTGTAAGTTCTGAAATCTCACCTCACCTGTATTATCTCATGATAAACAAAGTGACTGGACATACAGAATTACTTGGTTCCACTACAATTTAAATCCCTCTATGTGAATTTTAGGCCTGAGGTTATGCACTGAAACTTTTTAATAACCCAAAGCTTAAAAGATTTTGAAACAATATCAGAGAGTAACATGTTCAAAAAAAAAAAAGAAATCCCCTATACAATCACAATTCCAATCATCATGAAACAGTTGTTTTTTTCCTTACAATTAAAATGGGTACATATATGTCAGTATTTAAAGGAATGCTTTGTAAATCAACACACCCCAAATCCATTTAGAAAGTTTTAAACAATTTTTGTCTAAATGCAGTGAACACTTCCATATAAAATACTACTCTAGCTGGACTGGGTTTAACAGTTGACATCCAAATCTTATTATCTGTAAATGGTAGTCCATATAAATTCCACTAAAATCTGACTGCAATTAATTCTTCAATCACACTTAAAAACTACGAACACCCCCCCCCCCCAAACAAAGTTTTACATGTCAAAAATGGACAATTATAGTCAATATCACATAGACCATTTAATAGGAGACAGAGTGTATCGTCGTTCAACCACACAAGACGTGGTCTGTGCAAAAGTCAGTTAAGGGGGTCCGTCAGAGTCTCTCACGTGCAGCATCATTGTGCGCAATTGTCACAGTTTGCCAAGTTACTCTCTTGACTGATAGAATAAAATATAGCCAGACTCTGAATTTTTTGATATATCAGAGGTCAGACCATAGAATTCTTCAATAGCTTGAGCATCTATTTTCTGCAAAATAAACAAAAAAATTTAACATGCTGTTAGGTAAAAGAAGTACCAAACCTGGATCAAATGACTGTGTAAACATGGACAACAAATTCAGTTACTTGTTTCTGGGTAGCAATTAACAAATTCTGTTTGCAATTTAAGCAGTGAAAGGGTAATGTTCTGGGGCTAAGCCCTACTGCTCTCAGTCATGGAAACCAATAGGAATGTTGGTCTTGGTGAACCTAACCGAATTAAGCTTTTTCCAACAACAGCGAGACTCCTTGGAACACAGTAGTGAACACTGCTGAAACACGTAAATGTGAGCATGTGATCCCTCCCTTCTGAAATTTCCAGAAATACTCCTCAAGACACAGCCCATCCAGTGTCCCAGTGCTTACTTTCTTCTGTTGGATTTACTCCTGGGAAATAAGGCTTAAGACCTCAGTTTTGTTAAGGTGCCGCAAAGACACACGGGGATTGCTTAGGAATGAATTGTAAAATGCTCAGACAAAATCTTTAATAGCTGCAGGCCAGATCCTGCTCTAATTTACATTCAGACAAACCCAGATCGATTGTAGAATCCACACTTTCTTCTAACTTCCCAATTGTTCAAAAATTAAAATTCTAGAGCAATGCTAGCTTTACCCAATCCAGTTTTGCCAAGTGATGTTGCCAGGGATTGCAACATAGTTCATGGATATTTTAAGTCATAATGAACTAAATTGATTTTATTAGATATAGAAATAATTCCAAATGAAACCCTTCAAGTCTGGTATTAAAAACTGATGTTGCTCTGAAATAAAACAACCTCTTCCAACACTGACAGAAGAACTACAGGATGAGTTAGTTTGTTTGCAATCTTACTTAACAGAGTTGTGCTAAATGCCACATTACAAGCAAACTGTGGCTTTGCAAACTAGTAATCTGCACACAGGTCTGGATCAGAAGTTTAACCCCAGATAGAAAACAGAACATAAACATACAGGTTGTGCTCATGACCTTCAGCATACTGACCTCTACAATGTCATCATCAAACAAGAGCCAAAATCCATGACTTTTCACAATAGTAATATAATGCCCCCGATTCGGCCCACTAGAAAGCAAAACACACAAACCCCCAAATATTAGAAGATACTATTGAGTCCATTTTTGATAAGTCAATTTCTATATGCAAGCAGACTGAATTATATCTAAATGTTATGAAGAACATAGTAAACCCACCCCTGGTGGTTCAGTAGACATTTACTCCTTTCACCTTTTTACTGAACTTTTGCAAAGGCTTCATCAGCTGAAAGCTAAATGTATTTTCATCTGTTCCAAGACCATTTTCAAATTAACCTCTAGAATAATAAAAAATTTGCTTCTGGCAGGCATCAACTACTGCCAATATTTTTAAGATGTAATCATAGAATCATAGAATCGTTAGGGTTGGAAAGGACCTTAAGATCACCTAGTTCCAACCCCCCTGCCATGGGCAGGGACACCTCACTCTAAACCATATTACCCAACGTTCTGCCCAACTTGGCCTTGAACACTGCCAGGGATGGAGGATTCACAACCTCCCTGGGCAACCCATTCCAGTGCCTCACCACCCTTACAGTAAAGAATTTCCTCCTTATATCCAATTTAAACTTCCCCTGTTTAAGTTTTAACCTGTTACCCCTTGTTCTGTCACTACAGTCCCTAAAGAAGAGTCCTTCCCCAGCATCCCTAATGAACTAAAATTATGGGGAAAAATTGCTTGGTATCAACTGTGAATATTTAGTTACATAGAGTATTTGAGAAGAGGGACAAGTCATGTTCTTAAAGCCCCAAGGATTTTTGTTTGTTTCATATTTGACAATACCCCATATGTAAAAAGCTTTATTAAAGCTATCATTTTTGTTGCCTTGACAAGAGAGCAAGATAACCTGTTGCAGGACCTGCATGCTTCTGGCTTTCACATAGTCCTGGCTCCCAAGCTCTGTAAGTGGGATCTTGAGGAAGGAAACAGCTCTATTAATTCAAACCAGTCTTGTGACTTCTGGAGGCCTGAGACATTGTTTTTAGAACAAGTAGAGATTTACTGTGAGGGAGGGTGGCCAAGAGGTTCAGGCCACAACACAGCAAGTTGCGGCAGCAGCACAATTTGACTTCGCTCCCATTCTCCCCGCGTTTTGTCAGGCATGCCTCTGCCCTTGGCAAATGTCTGGCAACAGCTTGAGATATACATGAAAGTGTCTTACCTTCCACAGTGAACAACAACAGCTACCAAGTCATACATGCGATCTAAGTTGACAGCATCGCCAGATGTGTTGAAGAGACGTAACTCCAGAGGAAATACTACACGATAAGACAGCTTAGTATATCTGTGCAATTGCTCCATATACTTGAATCTCTTGAGGTGTAAGGCAAGAATCATTGGCAGTTTTTTTACTCTCATCCTGTGAAACCATTAGAGTGCATGTGATAAAGACCTGACAAGTTCAAAGCCATTTTGTCTTTCCTTAATGAGTAAACGTTTGCATTGTAAAAGCACTTTGTAAGTAACAGTAGTCAACCAGCAGTAGCTTCTAAACTAAGACGCATCTAATAGCTTTGAATTTGTCTGTTATCTCTTTGGCCCACACAGAGAATGTAGCTGGGGTGTAAAGCTTCTAGGTATCTAAACATAATAAATATCAAGGAGGAGGTCTGTCAAAGCCCAGGAGGGATATGGTGAAATAGCCTGCTCTTTGCTTACCTTTTCTGTGCCTCTTGTTTACTGCAGCAAGTTTCACAGTAGTATTTCTGTTCACTACATAATGTCTCTGTGTTACTGAAGTCTCTGTAAACAGACAGAGTTATCAGTTTTTAAAGGGTCTTCACACTTTTGCCCCACTTGGGCTGATGAACTGAAACCCTAAAAGGACACACAGGATCAAATCCTCTCTCCACTGAGCCCAGTTTTCTACAACATCTGAAGCAGCGGTACTGGGGTTTGCATTGGGACTTTAGGCATCTGGTGGCTATGACAGCCCTGTATTAGGAACTGAGGCCCTCCATACTATCTCAAAGTATCTCAAAGTAGGAATTATACCCTAACCTATTACATGTCAAGACTTGAGTGTAGTCACTCAATTCATCCAGTCCCTTTTTAAATTATTTGCAGAATGGAACAGCTTCAAGTGCACTTCTATCATCGCCAAATAGCTCACATTTTATGGTGTTCTGTAAGATAGGTTTGAATCCTCTTACACAGAAGAAATAAATTGAACTCACTTTCCTGCATCCTCTAACCTCTTGAACAGTCTTCCAGAAGTTATTTGATTATACCTTCTTCATGTCTAAAAAGGAAAGTTTCAGCTAGTATAGAAGGCTTTTTAAATCTTGGGCAAGTAAATATGATCGGAAATTGTTCTGGATTGAGCTTTTAAAGTGATAGAGGCAGAGGAAGGCTGCTTCGATAGCGTCTCTTAGTTCACAGAAAAGATTTGTCCAAAGTCACTATGCCAATATGATTTGGAGAAGAATTGTAGCTCCCTAAAAAAACTGAACTGTAAAAAAACCTGATTGATAGTAATTTTTTGTCACCTCTAGTGTTACATAGCAGCTGAGCAGGTGCTTTGAGAACTGTAAATGCAAACAAAAGCACCTATCTTCCACTTAAGCACACAGGTTTTCTTGTGACTTTGGGCCTTAAATATATTTGAAGTACAAAACTGTCCTGTTGATTGCACCTACATTGTACCTAATAATCTTCTGAAATCCAGGCAAATTCAGACCCATTCAGACCCATAAATAATGAGCTCCATTCTACCATTGCAGTTTGCATTTACGGAGCTGAAGCTGCACTGTCTGCAAGTGCAGTCTGCTTTCACAGTAGGCAGCACCAGAATTATCTTACAAAGGCAAAGGGAGGATTCTAGATCATTATTTCTTCCTGGCACCATCACCACAGGGGTTGATGAGAAAACTGAAGGCTATACAGATTGCCATGGCATAAGTAGTAGAATTTCTTTACATAAGTTCCTAAAAGTTCCTCTTTGGTGTGCTGTATGTTTATATGACAGGGAGGCATTTCATATGGCTGAATATTATACTGAGAATGCTTTTATTAGTTGGGTTTTTTTTTTCTTTATATGGACAAAATACATGTCCTGAAAGATATGTTGCAACAAAACTTTGATCATAATTTTCTACCTTAAAGAAAAATAAAGCATGATCACTGGAATGAATATCTTCAGTGGTACATACTGATCTCGAATATCTGATTTCACATTTGAATTCAAAGACAAAATTCAGCCAATTCCTCTGAAAAAAAAATATTAACCTTTCAGGGGATCATGAATGAAGAGATGAAACTTCAAAAAAATATTAGAGGCAGGTTCTATGTGTGGGGAACACGACACCGCAAGATTCAGTAGAATGTGTTTGTGTTAAGGGAAGAGTCTGATGTTTACTTTTAAAGCCTAAAGTGTCAATTTAAAGAAGACCCAAACAAACAACAACAACAACAACAAAATCCCCCAACAGGTTTGTAAAATAATTTATTTTTTTCCTTCCTCCCTCAAAGCAAAGCAACAGAAATAAATAATATTTTTTCCTAACATAAAGAAACACGTACAGATGGTAGGAATTTGATAGTTCTAGGTTTGTTCTATGCTAGACCTCCCACAAAAATAAATTAAACTCAAAGTCTTTCTGAATTATTTTTAAAATGTATTCATTATTCTGAAACTGATAATATCTAATATTTTATATGATAAGTTTACTGCTGTGGAAATTGCACCTGTGAAAGCCTGAGAAGTATTCAAGTACTTGGTAAGTTGAGGAACATTCCCTTACATGTCCCTTAGCATTTCTTCTTTTGTTCTTTTGTCTTCTACTTCCACCTGACAGACCGTTGTCCTATTCTGCCATAGCAGGTGAAGCACAGTCATGGAACTTGAAGGCACTACTAATTCCCTTATTCAGCACATATTAATTCCTTTTCTTGTACCAGGAACAAAACTGGTGGTATATTTATAAGCGTTAACTCTTTCCTTGTGGGAAGGGAGGTATGCAGGTGAGGATTAGATGCTTTTGCTTCCCTTTACAGCTGCAACTTAAGGAACTGTTTCAGCAATAGACAATTTTCAGCGTGGCACTTCTAATAGATGCCGAATAGGTGAAAACATGAGATTGCTGACTGGAGTTAACACAGTCTGCATGTATAAGAACTATAAGCTTAAGGAACTTTATACCTGCAGAACTAGTTCAAAGACATTTCTAACTCTCCTGTTCCATTAACAGGCCAATCTGCATTTTGCTTATACGGTATTTTAACAGCATTTTTTAAATACACCTGCTCAAGCTGTATTTATTTATAATTAATCTCATGTGCTTTCACAGCCCATCTCTCTGCAGTCTCTATACTACAGTGTGAAATGTGATTTCTGCTGTTTATATGCATAAATAATAAAAATTTTCTGTTTTAAGAGATGAGAGAATTCTTAGTGGAATAAAAAAGCACAAGTGGACAGTTAAAAGTCAGGATCAAATGGACTGGTAAACTTTGCAAGTCCTAGTGGAAACACAAATAAGGATATGTACTATATTTGTTATTAGACTTCCATTGCTTCAGGCTCCATTTCCTGCCCTGTAGAGTCAGACTGTGCCAGAGGCTTGTATTCATTGGACATTTTATGTACACAAGGATCTTTTCAATCTGAAAAGCTAAAAGAATGACTAAAATGAATACTCATCTGTAGTGGCAAAGAAATTCTTTCTACTTAAATGTTACCTTCTACAGTTTTTCTTTAAGTAAGTTACCTTTTCAGTGCAGTAGCACTTAAAGCTGTAAAGACACAGCAAAGCATATTTTATAAAACAAAGAAACAGCGAAGTTCCCCCAAAGAGTAATAACTTGGCTGTTCCTATTACTAGAAACCACAAGACCACTTACACTTCATTTAATAATGCATAATACCATAGAGCAATGAGAGGAAATCCATATTCTAACTGAATATTTGTTTTCTAAACAGAAGCAGACATGCTGCTAGTGTAAAAACCAAACAGAATAGATGGTGATGACTCTCTTTCTGTTTAATCTGTAAATAGCAACCTGCACCTCCCACCCCAATAAGAGAAAAACTGGGATATTTCTTCCCTTTATTTCCAAAAGGAACAATGTGTGGACTTCAAACTGTATGCCATGCTATTGGAGTAAAGGCAGATGCTATATTGAAATGTGTAAACAAAGTTTTAGGACATCTGTTCTTCTCAGGATTGTGTAGCTTTCTGATGACATATTGTGCCTAATTTTAGGCAACTGCACTTCAGGTAAGATAGAGTTCAAGAGAGGTTCAATTGGAGAGAAGCCTAAGGAGTAATGAACATGAGCAGAGATCTAGAGAAGATCACCTCTGAAGGAAAGCTTGAATGACCTTAGGCTGCTTAACTTAAGAAAGCAATGACATTCTTCCTGTATGTAAAAGGCTGCTGCTAAGAGGAAAGGGAGTAACCCCTGGTTTATGTGCAGAGTACACCAGGCAAGTAGAAATGGGCTTGAACTAAAACAAGGAAGATTCATGTTACACAGAGGGATAAGCTTGTTAGTAGTAAGAACAAGGACTGAGATAGATAGGCAATCAAGATACCACTGATAAAAGATCTTTTGGAACAGGTTGGACAAGCACCCTATCTGAGGTGGGAAAAGGGGCTAAACTCTTGTGGTCCCTTTCAACTCCACCATGCACCTGTCAATTGCAGTAGTGCAGATGCAGTTCTTCCACATCGTAAGTTACAGCCACTTGGTGTTCAGTAGTGGGAATGCTATAAAACAGCCTTTCCAAACAAACTATTTCCAGGAAGCTCTAACAACTAAGAAACTGAATTTAAAAAATGGAGAAAGCTGAAGGTCAGGTGGCAAGTTATGGACAGCAGCAGTTTCTAACAAGTTCACCAGACTAAGCTGTAAGATAGTCAGTGCTCAGTCTCCAGTAACTACGTATGACGGAACCAAGTAACAACTCAAGTTAGAAAGGACCTCAGAAGATGCACACTTCAGCTTCCCTGAATGTCAGTGTGATTTCAAATTGACTTTGAACACCATAGAGAAAGGCAAGTAATGCTGGCAAAACCAAGTTCAAGGTAATGGCTACAGTGAAGAACTTAAAAGTGTGCAAATAAAAACCTGTAGTACTAATACTGATTCAGTTATTGGTGACCATGAACAAACAAAGAGATGGGAAAAAAGAAGACAACAAGGCCCTACTCTTCGCTCGCGAGGCCAAGCCATCAATTACTTGAGGACTAATCACTGCTACAGTACCCTACAGGAGACTGAACGGAAATTGAGAAGGAAAAACCTTACTGGGTTTAGCACTTTAATATGTAACAGAAGTTACTTAGTACAGTTGTGGTATCTGCAGAGAAATCACTTTCTGACTTACAAAATGGTTAGTACCTTCTCTCATATGCTTTCTCTTTTTGTAACTCTCAGCTTAGGGTCAGGTCCCAGGCAACACTTCCTAAGCATTCCAGAACAAATGTTAAATGCAATTTCAAAGTTGGTAGCAATTTTGAAGCTGGAAAGAATAATTTGACCAATTGATACTCATTACCTTAGAGCAGCAACATATTGCTTTAAATCTAGGAATTGGTTTATTGTATCAATGCCAAAACTCCGGATATTTTAAATCTCTCAGAATAATCCTCCATGAAGTCTCAAAATTATTTTGACCTCTGAAGTATTTGGTCAGTAGTGTCTACTAGGAGCAGAACTGAAACTTAGAGTAAAAGACTTTTCCTTAGAATTTTAGGATGAGACACAGAATAGAAATTTATATGGCAGAAGAACTTTTAGACTTAAGAGATCTTTTGCCCGCTAGGGACTCTAGTACTCTTTCTCCAAAGTACTCACTTAACTTTTAATACGCACATAAGTCCTAATCAACAAAGCACTTAATAAAAGCTTAATGATAAGCACACTGAAATCCATTTGAAGCCAATTATTCTTCTGCAGCAATTCTTCCTGGTGACAAGACAATCAATTATTTTTCCCAAGAGATGATTTTTTTCCTCTTTCAAACACATATATTGAAAAAGAAAGTAAGTAAAACAAAATACACTGATGTATCTTTTGTCATTAGAGGAAACATCCAGTTTACAATCTTTTTCTTCTGCTTAGGAAATGTTCAAAACCCAGTGCTATTCTCCTTTTCTGTACCTACTAGACTTGGAAAATTTAGCAAAGTCAGACAGAACTATCTGCCAGAGATACACTCATTTACCTTAGACAGTGTGTAATTGATGTGTTCTGCTCCACATCAACAGAAAGGTCAAGAAAATCTTCATCTTTGCTACTAACCTGTTACAAAAAATATACATGTAAAACAGACTTAGTAAAACACCATACATGTAAATGCTGTTTGTATCTATGTGCAAATGCTAAAGGTAGGGTAATTTCTGCAAAAATAAGTTTCACAAAAATAACTCATTTCAAGGTTTGTTTTTTTTTCTCCTAGTTCAGCATGATTATATTTATTAGTAACTCTACCAATCCAGCTTTCATATAATTTAGCTTCCATCTGTTCCACTTCTCCAAGCTCACCAACCATGGGTCAGTGACTGTAGTCTACTGTTCATCAAAGTGGGGACCACCATCCGCTGTATTAGCTGTGACTGGTGCATTAAATATGTTTCCTTGTTATACAGTGTACTCTAGTTTCACAGTTTACGCCATAAGAAATTATTTCCATTAGTAAGAAAGCAATGAAAATGTCTTCTAAATAAGCATCTATCAAGAAATGTCATTTTTAACCATGCTCTTTTCCAGTGAGTGTTCAAAAGGCTGATGTTAAATTCCTGGTTGACACAGCTGCATTTCCCCATTGAGTATAATTTTGATTTAAAAATCAAAAGATTAAAGCTAAAAATGGAAACTAATAATACTTTGCAAAATAATTTTGATTTTGCCAATTTTTTTAGACAAGAGCTGAAAAATTATCACAAAGCTTTTATTTTAAAAGTAACCCTAAATATTTTCAGAATGATGGACCTTGATTTTTGCTTTGAAAATGATTTTTCACTTAGAGTATGTAATCTTGAAGATGTAACAAACAAACAAAAAATTTATCCAAATGGCTAATTGTAATACTTCAACTGAGTCAAAAAGACTGCAGAAGTACTTACTGCACATGAATTCAGTCATGTTCGAAACAACTAATTCTGTTTATGAAATGCATGAACACTCTGTATTTTGCCTGCTATTGCTGCATTTTCTTAGAATAACTAAATCAGACGTTAGGATAGTGAAGTTCAAATCAAGAACTTCAGTGAGTGTTTGAAATGATTGTTCTGATGCAAGTCCTTCATGCCCAGATTTCTGCAATTCTAGTAAGTAAGGTACTACTTTCAGTTGATCTTTGCATTATGGCAAAGATCCATAAATGTGGCGGATGCAGTCTTGAATCCAAAAGAACACCTTTAGTAGAGAGAATGTTGATATTATCAAAGATGTACAGAGGCATAACGTGCACCCAATTAAAATGAACAGCAGTTCTCCAAACAAAAGTCCTTCCTGAGACATGATTTGACCCACAGGGGCCAGAAAAAAAACAAAACTGGCAGCATTCAACTGCAGTTATAAGTACACCAGTAGAATTTGAAAGATACAAAACTTCAGAGAACATTATGTCTCTACAGCTGGAACTAGAGTTCTGTCAAATACACTGCATGTCAAGAAAGAAAGACTTGGAAAAGTCTTTGGCAAGTATAGTATTTCATCTGAATCCCACAAAGAAGCTCGGAATTTTGTTATTGATTTCATTACATCAAATATTTACTGAAAGGGGAAGATGAGTTAGTTGGAGCTGGAACATTACAAGCCAAAACTAAAGGTAGCTGGAAAACCAGATTCAAACTGAACCCTTTCTAGGTGAGAATAAGAACTCCTGGATTCTGAATGATTCTTCATGCACTGCATATGAATATTTTATTTTAACAAAGGAACATCTTCTTAGCCATTTTACTATTTCCCAAAGATTTCAAGTCACAGTAATAGAAGAAAATCAAACTGGGAAGTTATCCTGGGTAGTATACAGTATTTCTGCATTCACTGGAAGATATAGATAAGCCTTCCTACAGCAGCAATACCTAGCAGAATTTTTTCCATATAGCTTGATTACTTTAAATTACAAAGAGTATTGTGCAGTTTTGCTGTTCTCAAGGACACATCCTGACTTCATTAAAGTTTGTCTGAGTAGACACTGGATATTAGTTTAGAATTAGGACACAACTGTTTAAAGGAATTTGCCAGTTAAAAGAAATTCTATGCTTTCACTTATTTTAACTTGCTATTATTACTTGGATTTTTATAAATGAAACAGAAAAAAGAATTACTTTTCAATCTCTCTTGTATTTTCACTATACAAGCTTGTTCCAAACTTGGTCTAACCTCTTTTTTTCATGTTGACTATCGTTTGATCTCTTTCTTTCTACCCCCCCTCTGACATAAATCCCTGGGCAAGTCATATTTTCTTGGGATAAAGATCATTCTTTATGATTAGAAATATCAGAATATGTTCTTTTACACATCTGTAGGACCTGGGTAGGGTTTATCTCACCGAATTTCAGCTGTCCAAAGTTATAAATATTTAACCTCAGCTTGCTTGCTGTCTGAAGATACCTTCTCTGGGCACCTTCTCCCATCTTAAAGCAGATAGTCTAAAGTTGCATTTCCTTTGGAGGAAGCAGCACTGGTCTGAGTTAAAAACACGTTATTCTTAGGCCATATCAATTTGCTGGCCCAGTTCACAGCAGCGCTTCAACACCGATTGCAACAGCTCAGTAACACCATGAAACCAGGACAGGCTGTATGGAGGAAAATACTGATACTGCTAAAAACTTTCTGTTTCATGAAACATCCTAGAAACAGATAAAGAAAGTATCCTGCAGGAGCTCCTTTGCAATTTCCATCACCTACAGAGGAGCTAATAAAACTAGTCATCCTTGACACCTACCTTTTACAAAGCAAAGGTTAGGTGAGGTTAATTAAAAACTTTTTTGAAAGCCACTATCACTTTTCTCTCCGAAACATCTTTCTTCTACCTGTGTTACTCTTTGACAAAGAAACCTCACAGAGAGGAACTTTATTATTATTATTATTATTATTATTATTATTATTTCTTTTTACTTTTAAGTAGGAGCATGTGATTAAAAAATATAGAAAATGACAGCAGACTTGCAATAGCGTTTTCTAACTAAAACTGATTTTTACTCAGACTTCAAACTGACAGTATCCTCTAGAAAATATTAGGGAGATAAGGAAAACACATGGTTTGTTAATAACAAACCCTCTGTATGCCAGTCACAGTCTTAGGAATGAATTAACACAAATTCATCTTAACATTTCACTTATTCATGGAATAGAGAGGAGTATCTTCTTCAAAGTTACAATAATAAGGAAGGGTATTGATTAACTCACAAGGATTTTAACTGTAGAGATATGTATTAGGGCAGCAAGACTTGGCATAGGTTAGCCAAGTAATGCTTAGAAAAGTAAATTTTTAGAAAAGAATATACTCACTTCAAGAAGTAAAGTCTACAGGAATATCCACAATTCTCAGATGTCTGAAAAGATTCATATATTTATATATATAAAATGTATCTATCTATTAATGGGCAACAACCAAAAAAAATCTATCCCAATGCTTACGGTTTCACAGTTCAAACATCTAGTTTCGTTAGTCAGTGTTCCCTGAAAAATCTCATGCACCCAGGTGAGTTCTTGCTTATTGTTCTCTTCAGCTTCATTCATGTTGCCATTTTTCAGTTTCCCATTTTGCTTTTCCTGTTTCTTCTCCTCCTGCAATATGTCTGCGATGGTGTTGAGCAAGTAATTTAAAAACTCATGTGCATCCTGCTGCATGTAGTTGTCAAAGAGATCTGTGAAGAAGACAGTAGAGGTTTTGGAAGTTAACATTCCCTTCAAGAAAGCAACCTAAATTCATTATTTCTTCCCAAATACATAAAATCATATCATCAAACATGTTGGAAAAGACCTTTAAGATCATCAAGTTGAACCTATCCCCCAGGCCTGCCAAGACCACCACTAAACTATATCCAAACTAAATCTTCCCGGCTTAGCCTGAGGCTGTTACTTGTCTTGTCTCTTGTTACTTAGGAGAAGAGACTGACCCCCACCTCACTACAATCTTTTTCAGGTAGTTGCAGAGAGCTATAAGGTCCCCCCTGAGCCTTCTCTTCTCCAGACTAAACAACCCCAGTGCCCTCAGCAGTTCCTGGTTAAGACCTGTCCTCCAGACCCTTCACCAGCTTTGTTGCCCTTTTCTGGACCCCCTTTTGTTCATCAAAGTGTTTAGAATTGTGCCAAAGAAAAGCAGTTCTGCAGTCATGCTGGCTTCAGTGGAGCTATTTTGGGGAAGGCTTCATCTCACTAAACTTTAGCTGACTGTAAGGTTATGCTCTGGCGTTGGTTGTGTAGGCTCTCACTGCAGTCAATGAAGAAAGCAAGAGGGTGACGCTTCCTAAATTAATTCCTTAAACCAGTAACTCCTTACACTAGACACCTAATTACACCTGGTCCTGACTCCCACCCATACATTCCAAGTCCCTCAGACACCTAGGAACATCACAGAGTCTGGAGAGTAAGACACACGGCTGGGGAAACAAGACACTGAATGCTGACACATACTAGTGTACTGTGTCTGGCTGGGATGGAGTTACATTTCCTCATAGCAGCCCATACAGTGCTGTGCTTTGTGTGGCTAGAAGGGTGTTGACAATGCTTCAATGTTTTGGCTATTGCTGAGCAGTGCTTACACAGCATCAAGGCTGTTTCCAAAGGCTGGTAGGCTGAGGGTAGGCAAGAGGTTGGGAGGGAAAATAGCTGGGACTGCTAACCCAAACTGACCTAAGGGATATGCCATGTTATGACTTCATGTTCAGCAATAAAAGCTTAGAGAAGAGGGAAGGCAGGGGATGGAGATTCATTATTAAGATGTTTGGGTTCTGAAGCGAGTCCTATGCACACCAAAGCCCTGCTCCCCAGGGAGTGGCTGGAAATCACTTGCTGATACAAGGTAGTGAATAAATCTCCTTTGGTTTTGCTTTTTTTCCTTTAATTATTATTATTAAACTGCCTTTATCTCAACACAGAAAGTTTTTCATCTTATTTTCTCCTTGTCTGGCTAAGGAGAGGAGTGAGAGAGGCGTAGTGGGAACCTGGAAGCCAAGGGTAACCCACTACAAATGGCAATAATAACATCACCTCACAAAGCACATTTTTCACACACAGGTCAGATGAGCAGAGACTTGCCTCTTCAGTAAGAAATGCTTGCAGGAGGAAGAGAGAATATCTCAGTGGTGATTTAGTACAGATTTCTCCAGTGAAGGCCCAATTTGCCCACCATGTAGAAGAAAAAAGAATCTGTGTTCCCAGAAATAGAATCATAGAATCACAGAATGGTTTAGGTTGGAAAGCACCTTAAGGTCACGTAGTTCCAACCACCCTGCCATGGGAAAAGGACACCTTCCACTAGACCATGTCACCCAAGGAAATGTGTATTTTTATCCCCCTGCTCCTGAAAAAGCTCATGTGGATTTCATCTGAAAATACTAAACAGATCCTTTGGCTTTGCAGTGTCTAGCTGGACACATAAGCAGGTTAATACACCTACACCCTGAGTCTGGTCCTAGTTTTAAAAAAGTGGAAAACATAAGATCCAGTCCCTAAAAGTGATCCCAAACAGTGTGGGGGCATTTATTACTGGGTGATTCAGAGCTAACTTTGTCACACTCTCTAATGCTTGCTCTGGAATGAACTGTCTGCCCATTTATATCCTGTCACTGGGAAGCAGTTTCTTCCAGGTGTTCGATTCATACTTTGTCTCTTCATTCAAAGCTCCTCTGTTTCTAAGCATACCACCCACAGTGATATGAATCCAGGCCAAAATGGAGTTGTGTGCCAGGCTTCCTTATTTCAAGATGTTCCTCATATTGCTTAGACAGAACTACAAGATCAGCCATATGTGGCTGCCAACCTAATGCTCAAAAAGGGCCTGATGCTTCACAAAGTAAGGCTGTGCTCATTTCTGAGAACAAGAGGAGCAGTTGACGTGTAGTTCACTGAACACCCGTGCATACATAGTTACCTGTCCTGCAGGGTGTTTTGGACTAGTGGTGCCTGTTGCACTCCCAGTTTACACAGTTTCTATGCTGCCAACTGCCCATAGTGTTTTTCTGTGTCATAACCACAAAGATGTAATTAAAAAGTTACAGCAGAGCATCACCCTACCCCCAGCCCTAGCTCACTGTACAGTGCGGTCTGTCCCACTGTGCTCTGAAAACATCAGTGATTCATGCACCTTTGGCAACTTATGAGACCTGATATGGTTATTCCAAGCATAGTATCATGTACATAGATACTAAAATATTAATATCTAAACCTAAAAAGTAATAAAAGTAATTTATAAATTTAACCTGAACATCTGATTAATTTGATCACATTGCCCAATATTTATTTACACTTTCCTGATCAATGTATAAATGTCTAAGAGGACTCCAGTTTTACACTTACCATTCTCTTTTCGTAGCCTTGATATGAACTTCTTTGGTGGAATAACTCCAACTTTCTTCTTCTGAGTAGCAATACTGTGAAAAAGATCTGCCAGGCAAGTCAAGAGATTTTCCTTCTTTTTCTGTTGGGCCTTGTATGATAATACATTTTCCCGAAACGGCCGGCAAAAATACAGTGCCTGCAGCACGGAGTTACAGTAGCAGGTGTTCCCAAACTGCCATGTAAAATCAAAAACAATCTTAAGCCCTGTGCATCACAATAAAACCAGTTGTTTCATTCAACTTCTGGCTCCTGTGCCCCTGTCACATACCAGCCATTGTGCCAGGCAGCAGCTGTAGGAATATATTTCCATACCCACCCCTGACACTACACAGGAAAAAAACTACGGTGTTCTAAATTAGCTAGGATACAAAGTAAGTTTCCACTTGCAAGACATCTATTTATTGTAGTGGATCTTGTTAAGCTTGTTTCCATATATTAATATATTCTTGCTGGGTTCTATCTTACAGCTCAGTAGCAGAATGACTAATGTTTTCAATGGAAAGAATTACTATATCTCTTTTATTTATATGAGAATAAACAAGCGATTAAACAATCTTCTTACTCATGCTCTCCTTAGTCAGTTAGAAAAGCTCTTTGCTCCTTAAGAGATTCTGCTGTACCTAAGCTTGTACATACTTCCATCCCTTCCTCCCTCACATTTCGTGCCTAAAATAGACTTTTAACTTTATTGAAGTGTAAGTTCTAATCCCTGGAAACATTCATAGAACACAGATAGATTCTCTGGGGGTGTATCTAGCTTCAAACATCTGATACAGTTTTGCAATCCACTTTGCTTAAATTGAACCATGAGCAGCACTTTCTCAGGAAAAGGCAATCCTACCTTAGAATGGGATTGGGAGAGAAAAGAAAAGAAATAGGAGTAGAAATGAAAGTTTAAGTAACATCAGAGCCATAGTTCTGTATACAGTTTGCCTAATGGAAATCGTACTTACATTGACCAATCCAAAGTAGTGTTCATTGATTGGAAACTGCTCTGGGCCAATGTCTTTTTCCAGAGCAGAGGCATTGGTGCCCTATAAAATAAGGAGGAAGAAATTATTTAGAATAACAATATCATAAAATAAAGTTATGGACAGCATTGAGATAGGAACTATTTTTTTCCTTTCAGCTATGATTAGCCAAGCTAACTCTGTCTTACTAATGGCAGGTATGACAGCCACAGGAGCTAATAAAGCATTTGCAGTTCTAGGTGGTAGAGGTGACCTCCCCAGACACTCTAGTAACGGCTGCTTAGAAGTGAACAGGTGACAACAGCGATTCTCACATCCACCTTCCCCTTATTTTTACTGTGTATGGGAACAGTTGGATCCCATTATCATCTTGCATCATGAAGATACTTGTTGACCTTAAGCAAACCCCTTAAAGTTATCTTGGACAAACCAGTTCCTAGATGTAAGGCAGGTTTTCTAATTCGTCAGCAGCCTTTAACAACACTTGAGCTCCAGACAGAAACCCAGTCCTACGAAAAACATCACGAACATTAAAAGCAAGTGTAATACATTTGTCACTTCGCCTTATCTAACATCAAAGGGTGCATAAGCCCAAGCACCTTTGACCAAGTACCTTTGTCACTGCCTCAGTGTGGGCAAGTTATGTTCAGCTCATCTTCATTCCAACAACAAAGTTGCTTTCACAACTACTGGTGTGTGAAGTACAACCACTAATTTTGTATGTTACGTGTAGTTTTGCTATATTAAAACACCCATTTTAAACACCCTTTGGTTACAAAGCAAGCTAGCAAGCTGTATTGCTACCAAAAGAAATGTCATCACTCCTATCCACTCTATAAACATAAAGATCCCTGTAGGACCTGATAAAAATGCTGTATTTGGACAATATTCCCTACCAGTTACCAATTTTTAATCTGCATGAAAATTGCTTTACTGGCATCATACATTTATTTACTTACTAAGCATGCTCTGCAGTGTGAAGCATTAATTAATAGTGCCTATAATATTTCCACCCCACAAGAACAGCACAGTTGGTTGACTTTCATAACCCCATGTAAAATGCCCCTGTAATATGTCAACACAGAAAACATCTGAAGACTTATGAGATTTCCAGTGCTCCTGAGTTCAATAGCTCCTGAGTTCAATGCTTCCTGTGTTCAATATACTTGCTCAGAGACTTCATCAGCTAAAATTTTTGAAGTTTCTGCTAATCAAATTGAATAATTTTAGTGTTGCTTCCTCATCTTCTTCCCAAATCCTGATTTGTGTTTCCTTATCGCACCTCCCATCACCACTGCTTGCTATATTATGCTATTATTTCATGTCAACTCATCAAAAGAAGATGATTTTAGTCAACAGAATCACTGGAGTGAAAATCAGCACAGGTGCTCGCTGAGAATTTGCAAGTGTTGAAAGTAAAGCAGCTCCTTCAAGCTGTCAGCTTCCAGAAAAGCTCAAAGATTTTGTATTTCATAACCCCACATCAGATCTCTTCCCAGCCTCTTTCTCTCTCTCACACACACAGAGCTCATTGCTCAGACCAAGTGTGTCATTTCCCAGACATTCCCTTTGAGACTGAAGTACTTTACCTGCACAATGCTCCATGCAAAGCTAAAGGGATATGTTATTATCCTCTGCTAAACCTAGTAAGAAATCTGTAAAGAGGAATGATCTATAAAAAGCAATTATTGGATACCTTTCAATGGGGATGACAGTGTGATAATTATGCAAGTTCCATATGAAGATTACTTTCTTTGCTTGGAAAGTCAGCCTTGCCAAAGATACACAGACTCAGCAAAGCATCCAGTTTCCCGAGAGGGAAGAAACTGGTAGACATTTGCCTATCTGATATTAACAGTGAAGCAAATAGCCACTCTTACCCTCAAAACCTTGTCTGATGAAAGAAAAACATGATTACAGAAAATTAATGCAGCTTCTCAAGAAAGCTATCTTCAAATTCATACTCATTGTACAGCATTCAGATCAAAGCAAATGTTTTCTTCGATTACACTTTTAGCATTCCAGTCAAGTTCCCAAGCATAAGAAAGAAATGGGTGTTTTTCCAGCTTTTCAGGAAGTATCTTCCACACTGAAAATAATTCTCTCTCTAGAATTCATAGAAAATACTATCTCTAAAAAGCAACCTCCTACTCTTTCATAAACTAGAGGCTAGTGTATGTTGTTAGACAAGTAGAATGCAAGTGCTCTGCTAACTAGCTGCTCCTCCATTACTCATTTGCCTTTCCTCCAGGGCCAGGGTTTCTTACTTCAGAGGATGCCAGATGGTTTGCAAACCCTTTCTAGCATTTAAATTGTCTTATAAATATTGTGAGAAAGAGCAAGAATCAGGATTTACCAAACAAAATCATCACTGAAAACCAAACAAATCCATGACATGCACTAACTGATCTCCGTATAAAATCCATGCAATGCCTGGAAATTTCCAAAGTGCATGTTGTTGAAACAACATATACTTAGTAACAGCTCACCATAGTGCTTTACCTCTCCAAAACCTGGCCTTAGCTGCAGCAAATATGAAAGGAATCACTGTATGCCAGCTTCCCAATAAAACAGAGATGCTAAATTCAATCTTTAGGTAAACTGACATAACTCCCATGAACTTCATTACAAGTTGTGGATTCTTATATCAAAGGCCATTTCAAACTGATTTATTTGAAGGTCTCCAAAAAGACACTGTTAAATTTGCAGCAAAAAGAAGAGTAGGAAAAGAGGTAAAAGGTACAGAGATCGAATTCTTCAAAGTAGAACACTTCTCTGACATGGATTAAAAAAAAATGTGGACAGACTAGTAAACTCAAACCATGCCACATGGCATGTATATCTTTTGCATAGTAAGTCTCCTCAAGAAGCAGTTGACCTGATGGCAGAAGAAATGATTGGAAATTTTCTAACCAAAGTACACCAGAAACTGTATAACCGATCCAGGTTTAAACTGGAAATGTTATGTTATTAGAGATCTGCTAAAGGCGATTCAGAACTCAGTTTAAACCAACCATACATAATATGGAAAACCTGATAGCCCACAGCAAAAATCAACCATGACTATTTAATATGGTTTTATAAGCATGGTTCTGCTTATTCCCACTTACAGCAAGTCATTTTGGTCACTTCTGCGGTGAAACCCCACTCAGACGATTTAAATGCAATCCATTCTCTATGATTTTATAAAGAGTCCTGTGCTTCAGCTAGGAGGAATATCCTACCACAGCTGAATCTACTGTAGTTTCACAAAAAAACAGTAAGAGTGGCAGTGCAGCCACAGAGTCTGAAATGAGGAGAGACCACGTAAGTCAATGACCATGAAATAAATTCATATCACAGTACAGAGACAATAAAGAAGACTGTCTCCTTAAAAGAATACCCTAATGAAAGAAATACAACAAAGTGACTGAGGTGGCCAGACCTTATGAGAATGAGAACTAGGTCAATGTGGAAACTCCTAATATGTATTCTGCGGTGTTGGTGAACCCTGCCTCCTCTGAAGTTTTACCACTTAATTCAACAAGCAGTATTGAGTCCTTATAAAATAGCAAAGACATAGATTTGAAGACATATTCAAGCATGGGTCAATTCAGGGTAAGCCAAGATTTCAACCACAACATTGCTTCAAAGATATTCTGGCCATATGACCTGCATTTTTCTCTTGTATTATTTTGCTCTGGGCCTTCTCATGGATAAGACTGCCAGTTTTCTTTTCAGCTGAAATTTCTGATAGTGTTGCTAAGAGTATATTTGTGCTTTGCATCACATGAAATAGGTTAAGTAAAAAAAATCTCCCATTCCTTTTCATTTTAGAATGTAAACAAACTAACAATGCAGGGAAAAAACCCACATCAGATTAGATCATTAAATCACATGTAGCAAAATAACCTAAATACAATTATTCTATGGAGGATGAGAAATGGAACAGAGCTAATATAAAAAATACTGCAAACAAGTAATCAGATTAGACTAGACTAGTGTGATAGAGCTGAAAAAATTGGCACTAACTTTTGAGAAATATGCATGTACTTAATTTAAAATAAAGGAGTGCAGTAAAGAAATCAGAACTTTCCACAGGTGACCTGTTGAAAACCTGTTAAAATAGGCTAATAAACAGAAACACAGAAGAGCTTCAGATCATATACAGCTGTGAATTAGACCCTTTTCTCTTAACATTCAGGGAAAGTGAGAGCAATGTACTAGAAATAGAGTTTTTTCCTGAGGGGGGGAAATGAAGACTTAAGACAAAGTAAGGATGACGTCTAGGCTGGTAGAAGAGAAATTACAATCAAAATAGAAACGGCTTCAGTGCCAGTCAGCCAGAGTTTCAGGATTTTGGAAGGCACAGCATATGGGAGGGAAGGGAAAAAGAAGGTAAAGAAAGATGTGAAAGACCTCCTGGCCAACAAATGGCAGTGCTAGATAACTCAAAAGAGAGGAAACAACTACAAATAAAACCCAAAATTAGCTCCCAGAAGCAAAACAGAGGAAATGAGAGTAAGAGAAAATCCAGCAATATCATACCATGCAGTATACGTGCACCTGCTTTCAACAGACACATTACCTGTCCTCAGTGTTGGACCTTGACTATCCTCAAGGACAATCTCAACTTTCAGAGAGGTATGGCAAATAATTGGAATAGCTGAACCAGACTTCTTCCAATTTAGTATCTTCATAGATACTAAATGTCAAACCTGAAACGTTTCTGTGACTTTTAAAGTGTAAGTCCCACAAGATGGCTGAACTTAACCAGATCAGCTTTTTCCTGTTCTGCAAAGAAATGTTTTATTGTTTCTCCAGAGGAGCTATTTTGGCTCTTTGCTCCCACAAGATAAAAGGGGAAAGAGAGGATGCTATGAAAAATGTAGGGGATCATAGTAAACAATAAAAGATAACTTTTTTTTCGCCAAACAGTTTCTGATCATTGAGGCAGATTACAAGAGCTTAAAAGCAAGTGTCTAATTTGTTTTTTGCTGGATGCACTAAACTACCTCTTATCACAGATCTAAGTATTACATATACCGTAAATAACTTTAGCTCTTCACTGTGTGGTTACCAAG